ATGCTGACCTCATGATGCTGGTTAACTTTTGTGGTCGTCGATTCAGCACCGAACAGGGACTGTCTGCATAGGGTCAATGCCTTGTGCACGTCTCTCAGGTGACTCCATTTTGGGTCTCTCTGCAAACCGAACTCATCAAGAGGGGCTTCATCGTAATATCGGGTTGTACTGAAGGCAGAGCTTGTTCTACCAAAATTTGTTCCACCATAGTACTACACACAAGTTTCAGATTGAGTTGAGTGAGAAGACAAACTCTCTATCCATAACTTCGTTTCATAAAACAAATTTGCTAGCTGGCTAGCTATATATATAGCATCATAAGGTTTTCATTACCATATAGTAGTTCATCAAAGAGCCCCTCTTAGAGAAGAAACGGGCAACTGAGAAGGCAATGTCTTCTGCTGATCTTTGCGATGGTGGATCTCCAAACACCCTATACCTGTAGTTTCAATTGGGTTAATTGATGTTCACGAAACATTACAAAAATACTTACTTACAATGTTGATCAGCAATGAATATACTTACTGAGCAGTCCAGTTTTCAGTCCACAGGACAGGCTTGTCGGGTTTGTTAGGGCCTGTAAAGGTATCACCACAGTGTCTTCCATTGCATGCATTTACCTGGAAATTCACGCAAAATCTAATTTAACTCTATAAAACCGATTTATGAGATAAGTTTTGTGTGTAAAATCTAATTTAATCTTGTAAGATATGTTTTGCATCCAAAATCTAATTTTTCCCAACCGTTTGTAATATGTATACACGATTCCATGAACTTACCACTGGATCAGGAGCATCCGTTTGTTTGCACATGATCCATGGAACTCCAACATCCAGTGCAACTGCCAAATTTGCAGCCCATTGGACGTACTTATCTCCGTCCTCTCTAAAAGCGCGTTGGATATGGTTGTACTCATTCTCGATCTGTATTATAAATCAAATGCTGTGAACACTACTTTGCTTATACTATATCTTGTGAAGTAATTAGCGTTGGGAGATTTTTTATTATGTTGATAATATTCAGAACCTGTGCCAAGATGATGGGGCCTCCTTGGGGAGCGAAGAGCTTCGCTTCTTTACATAACTTTATAACAGTTTTTGTATATTCTTTCATGTATTTCTGCAAATTAGAAATCATTTTAATAATCTTCAACTATATTACCAGGAACTCGAACCTCACGTAAGCTTGATTCATACCTTAAAGGCTTCATTGTTTGAACGGAATATGATATCAGGAACCTCTCTTAGCCAATACGGAAGTCCTCTGATGCATCATCAACATTGAAGGAAATTAATTATCATCATATGAGACAGCGACGAACAGGTATTATTTGTAGCTCAGAACATGCATTTCATTTCAGAATTTTAAATTCAATAAATAGCATACCCGTGATTCCATTCGGCTTGGATGAAAGGTCCAACCCTGAGGGTAACATACATTCCTTTGTCATGACAGAGCTGCATGAACTTCACGAAATCATACTCCGGATCCACTTTGAACTGCAAAATCAGAGAACAAACCACCATTTAGACCAGCTGAAATATTCATTAACGATTCGTGTATGCAGCTAGTAGTTCGATCTAGTTCCAGAAACAATTTTACCTTGCCATGTACAGGCTCATGAACGTTCCAGAAGATGTATGTTTGAATCACGTTTATACCTCCACGTCTAGCTTTGTCAATAATCTGTGGCCACATCTGAAAACGTACACCCAACAAAACCATTTATTTGTTCATCTATACCGAGAAATTGTTGCATGGTTTGGAATCCTCACGTTCACACGTAGCATGGAGTTGAATATTTTATATTACAACAAAAATTAATTAATAAAGTTCAACTGCATGTTACGTAGAGATTCACTGAGATCATATAGCATGCATTCAGTACAACAATTTCTGCATGTTACGTGATGAAGAAGGTACCTCAGGGGGACTTCGAGTGTAATGGACGGAACCGGAGAAGAGAAGCTCCCGTTTTCCATTGATGATGAGCGACCTTCTATCGTATGTGACTTCCTTATTCTTATTCTTCTCTGCGCTGGTAACAGTGATGAAAAGCAAGGTAATCAAAGCAAGTTTGATTGTCGACATGTTGAGATTGTGTGAGGGCAAATAACTCGAAATTGATTAATCAGATGGTGTAGTTGTTCTGAAACTGTTTCCACAATTCCATCAGCCACACTTACGTAGTGAAACAACAGACAACACATGATGTTGTATATAAGGTGTTGGAGGAAACCTCGGTTTCCTTTGTCAAATTTCTGTTAGGAATCATTGGTCATGGTTAAGCTTTGTCTACGTGTCGCTTAAATATGTTGCTTTCTCCTTCTTTCGCTGCTAGCTACATAGTATTTTTCTTTGTAAACTATACTATTATTGTTTTGCCTGTTATTTTTGGAACGTGTATATATACATATATATCACATGTTTATCTTCCCCATGCATTGCTTTGAATTCTTTGCGGTGTTCATGGTCCATTGCACACTCTACTTTCCTTTTTGAAAATGTTTGACATACACTTGCAGTTCATGTACACCACTTCCACGTGGCAGTATGTGTGGCATTGCTGTACAGGTGGCAATATTTTAACTTAATATCTTGTGGATTTTAAGAAACTATATGTAATGACTTATGCTTAGAAGACATTTATAAAGTTTGGATGGTTATTATATATTTATATTTATGCATCCTATTAAAAAAATAACACGAAATCGATCAGCATCAATAAGATTTTTTTATCAAAAAATTATTTTATGATTTTAATTCCTTTTATTATTAGTAAGAATTAAAGATGTATTAAGAACTTTACAATAATTCACAAGTATCTTACAGAACTAATATTGAGTTACAGTTATAAATTGGAATATACAATCTTTATTTTGTTGGAATTGTAACAACTCTTCTAATTATAACATATAATTTACAATATGATGTAATTTATTCCATTTAAAAAATTCGAAGTATTTTAAAAAAATATGTATAAAATTTATTACCTTCTCATGTATTAAATAGAATCAAATCCATGCATTTTTAAAGTTAGAAGATTAAATTGGACTAAAATTTCAAAGAAAGATTAATTCTAATTTTAATGAAAGTTAATGAATCAAAAATATATTTTACCCTATTAAAACCCATGATACGAACAAAAACCAAAGAAATTTCTATTTAAGATTGTTAATATAAAATATAAAATTAGGTTGTATAATCGTAGTTGTATTATAAAATTTATATTTCGAAATGTACAATAGAAATAGGATAAATTTTAGGTATTAAATTGTAGAATTCAAAACAAACAAATATAACATTTTAGCTAGAGTGTGTAATCCGAGATCTACAAATTACATAATTCAAAATTAAAATTAAAAAAATGAAAAATAACTCATCCATAAGAAATGCACCAGTACCACTCCCACCACCAACTGCCACCAAAACGCACACCAGTACCTTCACACCAAACCAAAAACAAAAAAGCAAACCAAACACAGTCTTAGGGGTGCAGAAAGAAAAAACGGAGGTGCAGATAGCATTGGCCTTGCGAACTTGCGGTCAAAGTGGTTTTTGTCAGCACACGTTCATATGTTTCCTGAAGAAGCAGCAAATTAAAATAAATAAAAGAAAAGAAAAGAAAAGAGTAGAATTGTTTGAAGAAAGAACCAAACTTTGGAATATGAACGAAAATTGAATAAGACCCATACATCGTGGTGGTCGCTTAAAATCAGGTGGTGGAAGGTTGATTGACATAGGTTTAGGTGTAGATTAGATACTCATAAATTACTATCTATAGGCAAATTCAACATAAAAATTCCAAGAGATACGTGCCGTGTGTTACACACAGAGACGAATATATATAATCGGTTGACTTGATTCATGCAAACGATTATTGATGCTTAATCTTTTAACTTTGATTAATAAAAAAAATATACTTTTACATAAATAAAAAATTATTATTATTTTTTCTTATATTATTACTCGATGAATAATTGATAACAGTGGATTTGCTTAATCAGTGGCAGATGAAGCTGAAAGTACCTGTCAGCACTCTGCAGTAGTTCCGTAAAACGTCACAATTGTTGATTTGTGATGATCCAACTAATCTGATTAGGTGGGTGGTACCATTCATCAATTTTATGCGAAATGAAATTGAAATTTAAGCATGTTGTACCACTGCCATGGACATGCTACAAAGTTAGTGATAACATTTATGCATCATCATTCACTATCAATAGTAGCATATTTCTGCTTTAATTACACATTATTAAACAAAAGCTTTCCATACCCAACCATGAATTATCGCTTCCTAATCAAGGAATGCTATTCCTTTCTTTCACATCATTCTCACACTTGTCACTATCTTCCACGTGGGTTTAATGGAGGATGCATTACCCATCCCTGTCGTCTCTTTTCTCCCT